GGGAACAAGTGCATTTCCCACCCCAGAACTGCAAAGCTGAGCTCGTCATCGCAGGACAGCACGCATCTACAAACTGAACCGAGTAACACTGCACGCAAATGGCAAAGCCACTCCCTCAGAAAACAGCACTTCTGTATTGCATCGAGTGCGGGACACGCGGCTCCGCTGTATAAAAAAAAGGCAACGGAAGGCTCCACTTCCAATCAACGAAAAAAAGCACCATGAACTGTTCAGTCCAAGGCAAATCGCACGGGAGCTGTTAAAGGCAGCATCTGAAAGTAGTTCACTTTCTTTTCTGTACCTCCCCCTTGATGCAAGGAGTTGAAAGTTCCCAGCCCAAGAAGCAGCACCAGCAAACACTGGCATAGGAAGGGCTAACAGTTACGCCTCGTTTCAGGCAACAATGGGCTTTCCTGACAGTTGTGATTTTTTTTTTTTCCTTCTTTTTTTTTTTCCCCACACAACCCAAGTTAATTGCATCCCTGCAGAGTGACGTTATCACAGTTAGAGCTGATCATGTTCCAGATTAACTCTATTCCAGGAAGATTTTCCTGGTTAAAAGTTCATTGCCGGCAATGAATGCAGCAAGATCACCAGTGCCAAATGTTTTTAAATACTAGTGAAAAAAAAAAAAAACAAAGAGAACAAAATATCTCCCCCCCCCCAAAAAAAGACTGCATAAAGCTGAACAGACCCATCCTCTGCAGCGCAGCACAGCACAGCTCAAAGAACTGAGCAAGCCCCCAAAATCTAGTCTCATCCACACAATTTCACTAGTAACAAAGACTGCTGAGGGAGCAGAAAGGCTGGAGAAAGCAACTGAACTGTCAGTGTCCAAGATATAAACTCATGCCAGCGTTACCATGCATTAGGAAGGAAGTGTGTAGCTGGATTCTCCCCAACACATCAAATCCCATACCCAAATTTGCTTTTTATCTCCAAGATGGTGCTAACTGAAGAAAGTCTAGAGGTGCATGTGCTGTGATGAGCTCTCCTCCGGAAATAAGCAATCTACGCAGAAGATAAACCAAGGACAGAAGAGTTGAGGAAATAAAAGGGACATGATTTCATAACAAAAATTATAAAACCATAACTTAAGAAAGCCCAAAGCTGACAGTGTTCAAGCTATTGCTATAAGAATGCCTGGAAAATCTAATGAAGACTCTTCTCTTCAGCGAAGACACATCTGGAGAAAAGAGAGAAAAAAAAGGAGCAGGAAATTACCGACAGCGAAGAGCAACAGGCTGGAACTGCCCAGCACACTGAAGTCCAAGTCTTATGTACGTCACCCCAGACAAACGTTAACGCATGGGACCTGACAACACTCTTCCTCCCAGGACAAGAGATGTCTATTAGTTTTAGAGGGGCACTATAGCAACATTAAGACCACTGTATTACACCCCTAAGAAAGCGAGCTCCTTCTTGAAGTCAACATTTAAATAAATTGTAGGGAGTGAGCACTGTTAAGCTAGGAATTAACTTCCCAGCACTGCCCATGGCTGGTACCAAAGGAAAAGCTTCATTATGATACAGCTATTAAGAGAGAGTCAAGCTGAGACGTGTACCAGCAGGCCAGTCAGCCGGACAGGGGACACGCCACACATGCAATGTCATTTTCCCTACAATTTCTTCATTTGGGGATGGCCTCCAAGCAGTCGGGTATCGATGCAGCACCCAGACGGGTCACATTAGGGAGCACACTGGATACTGTCAGCAAGCCAAAGGTTCAAAATATCTTCAGGAGGATAAAAATTTACAGAGAGGATTCTTCAGCTTTTTAGTTTGCTACTGTGCCAGATTGGAACAACCCAACACCAAGCAATGTCAGCTATCTTCAGCACCACAAAGGCCCAGTCCCATGACCATGGATGGGGAAGTAATTCTGTGCTAGACTCAGGCTAACCCTCGTTTTCACTCTGCAGTTAACTTTGGAAGCATCTGTTATATGAAGGAAAGGGGGAGGAGGGAAGAGTTGGACATCCTTGGTCCCCTGGCATTCAGCAATGAACCCCTGCTCTCACTTGACATGAGTGTGCACAAATGCTGCTTAACTCCTCCAAAACCACCACATGAAACCAGCTAGAGCAGTGGGGAAAAAAAATGTTACATCCACGATCACCTACCGCACAAAGGGAGAACTCATTTAAAAATTAAGTCTACCTTTTTTTGCTGGTGAAGTCTGAATGCTAAGTTTTAGTGCCCGCCCCCCCAGACTGGATTATATACATCTCATTTTCGCATCCACCTAACATCTGCAGCAGCTATTACAATTCAGAGCTCAAGCGCACTGGTTTGACAGAGAAACTTGCTGTCTCAAGAGATGGGGGAGAATGGCAATTTCAAAAAAGTTCTTTAGCAAAGGTGAGAGATTGCTCCCAAAATACTAAACTTTCTAAATCCAGTAACCCCTTGCTCAGCTTTGCCTCCATTTTCAGGAATGTGTGCTGTATTTGTGCTTTGTTTCTTTATTTGAATTTAATCTCAAACTCCTACATGTATTTTTATACTTTAATATGTGTCAATTTGCTAAGGAAATACCCACCCACATCTGTTACAGAGACATGAGGCATTATGCACCCCACAGCATAGCTAGAACATGTGTGTGAGCACCAGCACTTCTCATGGTGTGCTAGTTTTCTACTGATATGAAACATTCAGAAGCCAGGAGGAAAGACTGAGCATGGAATTTTTTCCGTAAGTAAAGGAGGTTGAGGTCATTAGAAGTTACCAGGAATCAGTCATGATTTACTGATGGAAACTTCAGCTCTGTTATCTCCAAGTCAGGCGAGCTGCTGCCACTTCTGTCACTGTAGGTGTCTCTGCAGAATTCAGAAAGATTTTGTTTTATGGAGCACAAGTCCTTTATAGACCTAGATTTGCATCAGCAGTTAGTGGGGTTTGGTAGTAAGTACTGCTAAGCTGAGGTTGAAAAGCAGAGCACACAAAATTCCTAGTGTAGCTGTCCCTTTGGAAATAGGGCTGAGTCATCATCAATTTTAAGGTTTGTGCATTAAAATCATTATACATGTAATAGGTATTTTATAAAGCAAAGTTATTCTACATGAAATTCATTAAACAGGAAATAGGAGACTGGTTAACCACCCATAAGCCATTCTATTTCAGCTTCCCAGTAACAGCTGATTGCCTTTAATCCATTAAACAGCTTTTTCAGAATCACAAAATAATTCAGATCGGAAGGGACCTCAGGAAAGTTACACCACAGGGACAGCTATCAGATCAGACACAGCTGCTCAGGGCTTTATCCAGTCACATGCTGAAATTCTCCAAGGATGGAGACTGTGCAGCCTTTCTGGGCAACTTGCACCCATGCACAACTGATCTAATGGTGAAAAAGATTTTCCTTATAACCAGTCGGACCTCTTATTTCCATTTATGTCCATTGTCTCTCATCCTCCCACCATGCAATTCTGTAAAGATCCTGTTTTCATCTTCTTGATAAAATTTTTGTAGGTGTTGGCAGGCTGCTCCTAGGTGCCCCATAAAGTCTTCCCTCCTCCAGGCTGAACAAGCCCAGCTCCTTTGCCCTCTACTCACTGGGCAAGTACTCCAACCTCCTGGCCTTCTCAGTAGCCCTCCACTAACCTCTCTCCAATTTATCAATGTTTTACTTTTACTGGGCAACCCCAAACTGCACAGAATATTCTAGATGTGGTCTAACAAATGCCAAGTGAAGAGACATAATCATTTCTCTCCATCTACTGGCTGTGCTTTTACTCATACAGCCCAGGATGCTGTTCGTCCTTCCTTTGCTGCCAGCACACGCTGCTGGTTCATGTTCAGTTTGCTGTTCGCCAAGACCTCGCCAGCAGAGCTGCTGCCCAGCTGCTCAGTCCCCAGCCTGTGTGACTGCAAGGGGTTCCTAGGCGCAGGACTCTGCATTTGTCCTTGTTAAGCTTCATCAGGTTCCTGTTGGCCCACTCCTCCAGCCCAGGTCCCTTGGAATAGCGGCCTCATCCTCAAGTGTATAGTCTGTTCCCCCAAGTTCGTCGTCACATGCAAACCTCATTAAAGTGCAATGATCGAGACTTACCTGAAAACTTGATAAGAGTTACAAAAGCACAGGAATAATGGGGAGTACAGGCTGGGCTATAACTGTCACCAATATTTTTAGGTAATATGCTAACCATGAAACAGTTTGTGACCACAATCACAACGGACTCCAAAAGCAGATAAAACTAACTTAGGATGCTGCAGTACAGAGGAAACTTCAGCTCCTCTGCTGTGAGAAGTAAATTCAAACTCAAATGTGCAAAAGCAGGAAATTAAAATATCCCTCAACCCTTGGAAGCATGGAAATGAGGCACCTTCACAGAGAAACTCTCTTCAGAGCAGATCAGTCAGAGCACAACTGACAGCCATTCTCCAGACACTGACTCAGGAATTCCTGTGGTGCAGCTGCATTGCAGCTCAACCCAGAAAGGCCAATACTTTCCTTTTTGCATTGCTTTAGTTTAATACATTCAGCGCTATTTCTCTTTTGCATTTAGTTTGGGTTTTTTTGTTTAGTGCATGTTAGCACTCCAGCTACACAAGCAAATCCTCTGTGTTCTCCTCCATAAGGACGAAAATGGGTCACTACCAAAGTGACGTTTATTTGTTGCACATTGCCACAACTGCTGAGCAGAACTGCAAGGCATTAGGGAGTAGCAGAAGAAAGTAAATGCACCATTAAGTCTACCCAAAACATTAGTTGCTTTGCAAACTGAGAAAAAAGACAGCTTAAGTCAGCAGAAAAAAAAAATGAAGCTGCTACCACCAGGGCCCATTCTTTAAACCAGCAACAGGAACAAGTTTCTTAAGGACCAACCTGTACCTAGGAACATTGGGAAAACCCCATGAGGTCTCCAGTCATCTAAAAGAGCAGGCCCAGCTGCAGTTTCCCCAAACACAAGACTACAGAGTTACTCTCCCTGAAGTCAGGACCTCACTGTGGGACAGCTCTATGGCACTACAGTCAATCTTAAAATGCAAGACAAGAGGTTTCAAAGAAAGAGTGGAAAGAAGAGGTGTTGCAAATACCCCCTAGTTACCACACAGTAACTTTGTGCCAAGAGGATTCTCTGGTTTATCCTGTAGGAAGAAGCACTGCCCTGTGAAAGGTCTGACTGGTGTCTTCCTTCAACCTACCTGGGTGAGAGCCTGCAGCCCTTTTGTAGATAATGTGTGAGTCTTCCTGCAGATGCCAGGAGGAGGCCGAAGTATGGGGGAGATGGCTTAATTGGTCTAGAGAGGAATTCAGGGTGGTACTGAACACCAACGAAGAAAGGATGGTCTAAGAGAAAGAAACAGAAAATATTAATGTCAAGTCACTTAAGCCTGTGGCTGAACTGCAGTTAAAAGTGCTGATCACACTGAAGCCCTGATGATGGGGAAGAAGTGTCATTTCTTTTCTGCCTTTTGTCCCTAAATGGACAGGCACATGGGATTCTTCTTTTAGTGTCCCGCACAAAAACCTGCTCGATTACCCTCCAAACATTTTCCCTTGTAAATACCACCACCCACAAACTAACTGCTTAAAGTACCTACCTTCCAACTCAACTACTTCCATTCGCTCTCCCTCCTCATCCTGGCCTACAAACTTCAAACCTTGCTCTTCGAAACACTTCTTCAATTCTGGATTGACCTAGAAGACCAGAAGCAAGAAAACCCATGATGTCTTGTGTTTGGATTACACAGAAAAGCTCAATACCTACAACAGCAATTTTACCTCAAATCTGTGTCTATGTCTCTCTTCCAAGAAATCATGATCTCCGTATAGCTTCCCTGCACCAAAAGGAAGACATTTCTTAGAGCAAATGCTGAACAGTTCACACAATGCCAAGTTTTAACAAGTTCATATGAACAGCATCACCAGAATCTGCCACTTCTAGAAGGGACCAAATTCATTGATCTCCATTTCACTACCAGAACAAAATCTGTAAACACCCACCATTCAAGGATGCTTTAACACTCCCAGGTCTCACTTCCCAATGCCCACCACACATGCACATCATTCCTAGGAAACACTTCCAAAAGAGGTAAGAAATGCCTTACTCATGACTGAATTCTTGGTTTGGAAGAGCGTCCGTCTCTTGCCAAGCCTCATGGTCCCACCCATTTGCCCGGGATTATGTTCTGGCATGTCTATGACCTGCAAAAAGCATTCAGAGAGGAAGGTGAGACTGAGGGAGGGATAACAGTCCCAGGCACACTCTGAAACATTAATGAGGGGGAAAAAAACAACATCCGTACAGAAAACAGGCAAACTAACCCAAGCAACATTGTCTTGACAAGGTAGACCAACAGAACTAGATTAGTTAGCTGAGTTATCCTAGTAAAGGCTGTGCAGAACATACAGAAGGTTTGCAGCTTTTCAGGAACCTTTAGCATAGGAAATGGTCTCAGTCAAAGCCTACACAGATCACATGCACTAATAAATACTGTGCTATTTACTGAACCAAATGTTAAAAAAAAAAAAAACAAATTTACAGAAACAAAACCCCCAAATCAGAATCCCTTATACTTTGAAAACTTCTTCCTTTTCAGTAGTATTTTAAATTATAGCAGAAGCAAATCATTATGGTGGACCCTGGACAAGGCACGTAGAGCCTGCAGTCTTAGAAAGGCAGGTTCAGAAATCTGTCCACAAATGTTCCAAGGAATTTATGTCTGTCTATGTTAATTTCTGAGATCATAATTAAACAGTTATGCAGTGGAATCTGGATATCACCAAATCTTTAACATTTACCTGTGAAATCAGTTAGCTTTCAAACTGCCCTTTAAGAACCTTTTACCTCCTAGAAAACACCTTGTTTTATGAAAAAGTGCAATTAAAAACAAAAATAAAATAAAAAAAATCAGTGTTTCACCTATAATAAGCACTGCGATCTTCTATGAAGCAGCAACTGCCATACAGTTAACTAGGCAAAGACATTTTTTCAGATTAGTAAATGACAGAAGACAGACTTAAAAGCCATAAGAAATAATAATCCAAGCTCTTAACTGTACCAACAGGTATGTGCAGAGAAGTCTAGCACAGAAAGGGTATTACAAGCAAGTCATCATAAACTCACCACTGGATGAGCAGTTCTGGGGTCAAATTCTGTCGAGTTAGCATCTGCAATGTAATGTTCATCAATTAGAAACACGAAGTCCCTCACACTGTGACATGCATGTACAGGACCTCCCCCATGTACAGCTGTGGCTCATCCCCACGCTTCTGGCAAGTGGCAACCTTAACTGTGCTGAGCCATTCACCTGCACAGAGCCGCCAGCTCAGCTCCAGAAAACAGAAACAGACTCTGTCAGCACTGTTTGACATGAATTTCTGAGACTGCCTGGAGGTTACAATCTTAGGGCAACCAGTTTAGTGCTATCAGTGATGAAAGCAAGGGTCATTCAGGAAAAGCACATATTGAACAGCTTAGAATATTTTAAATAAAGCCAGGGAGCAAGAAGGGAGCAGAAGTACTCTGAGAAACACATTTTCCCCTATCTTCACTACTAGTGAGACTCAGAATCAGGCTGAGAAACTAAATTTAGCACTCTGTAAAGGGAGTTTTGACAAGAGGGACTTCGTCAATCCAAGCAGTGGAGCCCAGAAAGCAATTCAACTTGGTGCAGTAGGTGCAACTGCCTGGTCAGCTGAATTGCTTTTTGGTCTTCATTCCCACTGGCTACAATGGGAATTTAGGATGTCCAGCATACACAAGCACAACTCCACTGAGGTGTTTTATTCAGGAGCTGAACCTCACTCTAAGCAACAGAAAGTTTTCTGTCATAAGCATGCCTTACTCCATTGATTTTTATCTGAACAGGATACGGAAACTGTTCTTTTTCCTTTGAATTAGCAAAGGAGATGGGGAATTTTACAGGCCTATAAAAAAATTTTAAATCTACCTAGCAATGAAAAATTAAAAGTTACAGGTATTAAAAAAATTACAGGTATTACTCAAGCAATCAAAGAAATGACGAAAACCCAGGAAGGCTTTTATGCAATTACCTTGCCAACCAAGAACACTGCGTGCAAATTCCACAACTGCTAACTGCATTCCCAAACAAACTCCTGCAGAAGGCAAGGCAGAACACAGATCAAGTCAAGACAAGGACCGCTGAGCCCATATTGCAAAGCACACACACCTTCACAGAGCAGACGTGAGTCAGAGGAAAACGTGGATGAGAGACCTTTGACTTGGATTTAGGGGTCTGCTCACTCTGTACCAAGTAGCTCTGACAAGTTTTACTCCACTGCTCCCTTCCCTATCCACTGCTCACACATTTCCAGTCTCTCATTTTGTTTAAATGCAGTCACATACTTCTTTGTGCCAAGATCACCACAGCCTCCTTTGAAACTTCCTTGGAGACTCCTACCCCCTCGTTATAGAGATTCCTTGTCATCACATCCCAGCCAACTCCAAGCACTTCAGAGCTAACTACAGATGATGGCTGTATTACCCGGTTGGCCTTCCTCCGCCAATTATCTTCAGAATTGTACATTCTAGATACTAATGAAAATCAGTAAAGCTCTTGCTGCAGACCAGTTAGGCTGTTATTCAATGTCCTTCTTCTTATGGATGAAACATGTTTCTCACCTAAGAAGGGTTTTTTCTGTTTTCTTGCCCAGGAAATAGCTTGAATTTTGCCTTCTGTCCCTCGAACACCAAATCCACCAGGAACCAGAACTCCGCTGTATGAGGATGAAAAGATTCTATTCACATGGGGCTCACCAGCGTAGTTCCCCCCAACCACATACCACCCCTCTCCTGTAAAATCTTGGACTTGCAATACCTTGCTCCTGAAAAGGGCTTTAAAGTGCCCTGTGTGGCAAAGCCTGTCTGCAGCACGGTTTCCATATGACTTCACATGAGCCATCATATAAAATGTCACAGAATTTTCAGGGAAACATTTTAGAAATGCAAATTTTACCTTTCCAAGAAATCTCAAATACAATGCAGGTTACAATACTGGAATGGTTCATGTTGCACGACTCGCATGCTCTGCGCCAAACATGTTTGCAAACATATCATCCAGTCAGGCTCATGCTGCGGAAGCTGCTGGCTGCAGTATCAAGTTGTCTTAACCACAGGCACAAGGACACCAGATTCTGCAGGAGGTTCTTTGTTCTCCTGGTAGCACCCAAAGCCCTACTTGTTCTTGTTTTCTGGGCTAACTCGTAGCATTCTTCTGCATCCTAACACTTTGTCCGTTCTCACACTTTCTTCCTAAAGAACTTTATACCACATTTACATCTTCTGTCCTCTCTCTCTGGCTTTAATAGCCTTTGCCAGCACCTATCCTTTCCCCTCATTTCCTTTCACCCTGTTTCCCCACTAAACCTGTGCACATCCTCATCTGCATGATCATCTCCCCTATGCTGCCTTTCACAAACTCCCTCACTTATTTAACAATTTTCCATTTTACATCTTATCCTAAATTTCACTGAGAGGTATTTGGTGCAATGTCAGAGTGTGCCGGTACAGTGCCTAAGAAAATAATCTCCAGTGAGGCTCTTAATTCCAAAACTGTCAATAGCAGCAAGTTTATTAGACATGCTCCAAAGAAATAGCAAGTATTGGTCTTACTCAGCACCACACAGCTTCTGCCAAGCTTCATGGTATCGGACAGGTTCTTCCTGCAGAGTATCTGGCTCCAAGTCAGCAGAGTCAATATACTGGGAAGAAATCCAAAAAAGGATGATGAAATACTGCCACAAGAGCATACAGGGTCTCCTTAATTCTCATTAAATTAAGATGTCATCATTCTTCCTGCATAGCTCTAGAATTGTTTCCTACTGGATACTTGCTTATGTTTTTTCTGGGCTGATTTCCTGTCTGCTAGTCAGCAAAACTGCTTTCCCCCACCATCCTACTACTGATGCACAAAGAGACACCATGTTTTTTCTGTCTTCCCCTCTCTGCAGCTCTACTGTGACATACATGAAGTCCATGAGACCTAGACTCATTAAATGTGAAGCCTTAATGGAGCACAGCAAGATGGGAATGCACAGCTATGCAGGCAGAAACAACCACACAGCAGGAAAAAATTGAATCACTACCTCTTCAAATATACATCATTTAATCTTCAAGAGGGACTGAAGAACAAAATAGGATATGGTGAAACACAGGCTGTTGTAATTAAAGGATGTTATGACCAATGCTCCATATATATGGAAAAAACCTGCAAATTTTCCAGTTTCTCATCTCCAGCATTCCAGTATCTCTGAACTTCTGAATGTTCTGGCAGTCTGCTAACCCTTTTGAACAACCATTTTTGTTCTTTGGGGTTTTTTTAAGGTTGGAATACTGCTAAACAGTTCTTTTAACCCAACATAAGATCTCCATGCATGGGGCTCACAGAACCCATTCCCCTTCTGAACTATACAAATACAGCTGTGTCAGGAAGTACCCATGGAAGCATGAGCAGGGTTTACCCTTCACCAGTCTTACTTGTTTTTCTTCTTTTCTCCTCTACTGATTTTGTAAGTTGAAAAGTAACCCAAACATAGAACAGTGCTGTTATAAAGCAAGCACCTATTGCCATGACTCTCTGGCATCATGAAATGGCTGGACAGTTAAAAAAGTATATTTAAATGAAAGTAAAATTTCTGACAACAGATACATATTCCACCTCTTCAGAGCATATAGCTACAACCAATACCCTTAGAAGCACCTGTGCAGCCAAACCAGCATGAGGCAGAAGCATCATAAAACCTGTGAGTACCACAAGGCTAACAGCAACAACCCTAAAAAAAGGATCACTTTCAACAACTGTCAGAGAAATTAAAGCAAACAGTGCCCTCCTCAAATACATCTACCACTCTATCACAGTTCAGGACGCAACACTGAGCACTGAAGAGTTCCCATCAGTTATATGGACACATTGTATATCTTACAGGATGAAAGGCTGGTTTCCTTTGAAGCCTTTTTATGCCTGGCAACAGATGTTTTCATGCTGTAATCCAAGGACAATTTTAAAGTTCACTGGCTGAATCAACTCCCCCTTACTGTCTATGGGTTTGTGAAAAACTTAATTAAGATGGGTAGCACTGTATATGGAAGGAGTATGGAGGAGAAATTTTAACACACACACACACACCCCTACCTTAATGTCAAGTTTGTGGTTGATAGCCAGTGCAGAATGCTCCAGTGCTTTAATGACTGATGCGTAGGAATCTGAAAACTTGGTGTATTTGCCAACAAGCGCAATGGAACATGTTTCAAGGAGACGGTCATACCTACATAAAATCAAAACACAACGGTTATTTCACAGGAAAATGGGGGCAAGAATTACATTCTATTCAGCTTTTCAAGTAACATCAACAGTCGGGCTCTTGAAAGTCCATCCAACTAGAAAGATGATGACTTTGGAAGAGATGACCTTTTATAGTAATTATGACTTAAAAACATCAAAGCAAGATTAAAAGAAAGAAGAAAAAAAAAGTGACAAACAGTTGCAGAAAGTCATGTATACATTAACTCATCTCTCATTATGCTGAAAAGCCATTTTGTGTAGAACCAAACTGTCTTTTCAGGAAGCTGTATTAGATTCAAAGTCTGCAGTAAACTATTAGAAGAGAGGATCAAGGCACAACTCTGCATATGTTTATACTGTACAGCATCTTCCCACGCTGCTTCTGACTGAGTTCACTTCAACAGCTAGAAAAGACTTTTGTCGTGGTTTAACCCCAGCCAGCAACTAAGCACAACACAGCCGCTCACTTACTCCCCCCACAGTGGGATGGGGGAGAGAATCAGAAGGATAAAAGTGAGAAAACCCATGGGTTGAGATAAAGACAGTTTAATTGGTAAAGCAAAAGCCACACACCCAAGCAAAGCAAAACAAGGAATTCATTCACCTGCCCATCTGCAGGCAGGTATTCAGCCATCTCCAGGAAAGCAGGGCTCCATCACGCATAACAGTTACTTGGGAAGACAAACACCATCACTCCAAATGTCCCCCCCCCCCCTTCCTTCTTCTTCCCCCAGCTTTATATACTGAGCATGATGTCATATGCTATGGAATATCCCTTGGGTCAGTTGGGGTCAGCTGTCCCGGCTGTGTCCCTCCTGACTTCTTGTGCCCTCCCAGCCTACTTGCTGGTGGGGTGGGGTAAGAAGCAGAAAAGGCCTTCACTCTGTGTAAGCACTGCTCAGCAGTAATGAAAGTATCTCTCTATATAATCAACACTGTTTTCAGCACAAATCCAAAACATAGCCCCGCACTAGCTACTATGAAGAAAATTAACTCTATCCCAGCCAAAACCAGCACAGACTTCTAGAGTCCTAAGGCTGTACTGCCTACACTTTCAATCCTCAGCACCTGGCAGCACGGGATTTACACAGCATTCTTGGCTACAGCTAAGACATTGTTGAAGTTTATTTCAGAATTGCTAAGTACCTTCAACCAAGATGGTTACGGAGGGCTTTCCCCATCCAAAGAAAATGTTATTGACAGTGGTGGCTTGTGTCCGGCATATAAAGGAAAATACCTAGATCTTGAAAATTAATTTCGTATAAGGATGTCGTGGTTTAACCCCAACCAGCAGCTAAGCACCACACAGCCGCTCACTCACTTCCCCCCCACCCAGTGGGATAGGGGAGAGAATCGGAAAAAAAACCTAAAACTCGAGGGTTGAGATAAGAAGAGTTTAATAGAACAGAAAGGAAGAAAATAATAATTATAATATTAACAATAATAAAAGACTTGGAATATACAAAACAAGTGATGCACAATGCAATTGCTCACCACTCGCTGACAGATGCCCAGTTAGCTCCTGAGCAGTAATCCACACCTCCCCAGGGCCAATTTCCCCCAGTCTGGGTCAGCTGCCGTGGCTGTGTCCCCTCCCAGCTTCTTGTGCCCCTCCAGCCTTCTTGCTGGCTGGGCATGAAAAGCTGAAAAATCCTTGACTTTAGACTAAGCATTACTTAGAAACAACTGAAAACATCAGTGTTATCAACATTCTTCTCATACTGAATCCAAAACTAACACTATACCAGCTACTAGAAAGTTAACTCTATCCCAGCCAAAACCAGGACAAAGGACAAACATACTTACGGCTTCAGAAAGGGCCAGAATGCTGACTGAGAAGACTCAATTCACTATTTCCCCATGAACATGGAGTCTATTCCCCCCAAAAAAAAAAAAAAAAAAAAAAATCACTGTGTCCTAGGAGTCTCAGAACAGTTACCAAACAGTCGTTTCACTTGCTTGAAAGCATACTCAAAAGGTATGTTTTTATCGACACTCCTGATGACTCCTACATATACCTACAAAAGGATTTCAACACTTTGTAATGTCACTGGGGTTTTCTGTATAAAAAGGGAGGGCAGAGCTGTCCACGTTTTAATTACTTCAAACTGATTTTGACATAGACAGTAAACTACCAACACAAGATATGGAACTCAGTAACATTATCTTACAGGATTTTGTGAAGAAAGGCTGAGAGAGTTGGGGTTGTTGAGCCCTGGAGAAGAGAAGGCTCCGGGGAGACCTTCTTGAGGCCTTTCAATACTTAAAGGGGGCTTATAAGAAAGATGGAGACAGACTTTTTAGTAGGGCCTGTAGCGATAGGACAAGGGGTAATGGTTTTAAACTAAAAAAGAGTAGATTTAGACTAGATATAAGGAAGAGATCTTTCACAATGAGGGTGGTGAAACACTGGCACAGGTTGCCCAGAGAGGTGGTCGATGCCCCATCCCTGGAAACATTCAAGGGCAGGTTGGACAGGGCTCTGAGCAACCTGATCTAGTTGAAGATGTCCCTCCTCATGGCAGGGGGGTTGGACTAGATGACTGTTAAAGGTCCCTTCCAAACCAAACCATTCTGTGATTCTATGATTCTCATTTTGAAGAATTTTTTTTTTCAAACAGTTAAACATCTAGGAAGAAAATACATTGGCGGGGGGGGGGGGGGGGGGGGGGGGGTGGAAATTTGAGCACGTAAGAACACTTGAGGAACATGAAGTAACACTCATCACCTAATAACCAACGACCAAGAAGAGAAACTAATCTGGACCCTTAACTCAAACTACGCCCAGTGGTGCAGCTCACCTGTCAGCCATTTCCTTCCACTTCATGAGCATCCTCCTGGGCTGCCTCTCAATGGGAAGGTCAAGCCTGTGTCTGAAGTAGTCAACAACTCCCTGCTCCTCTAACAACAGAGGAACCCGATAGATAGAAGAGACATCATGAACACAGATGACCTGTTCATACAAAATGAATGTCATTAAAACAGATCTAAGTGCCTGGGCAATTATTTGAAGACAGATATTCAGAGAGCTTCTGTCTCTAGCAGACAATCATATGACCACCTAAACTTCCAGGAAATAGTATCTGTTGAACAACATATGAATAGCTTACTACTAGTTTCCACATGCTTGAAAAGGTCACCCTTCAACACTTCCCAGGTATCACTGCTCACTGGAACTCCTTGGGAAGGGCTGTAACATGATAACCTAGCAGTAAGAAGGTCAGCTGCTATGCAAGTTATGTGAGCACACAGCAAAGTTCAAAGAACACTTCAAAGAGACTTCTCCTATGATACAGCCTTCCTGGCAATCTTAATTGAAACTACAGCTAAACCGCTCACAGGCCCAGCTTCCCCGTTTCCCACCATTGTTGCTCTTAACCAGGGCTCCCAGTTTAATTAAAACCCAGGGAAATCTGCGATCTAAATATAGCAATAAATTTTACAGGGTGTCCTTCATCAAACTTCAGATTAAACAACTATGAGCAAAGAATTCTTAGGTCAATGAGGAATATCCACATCAACAGTTCTAGTTCACTGAAATGGGCTTCCTCAGAAAAGGAAAGATGGCTCTGGACAACTGTCACTTATCTGTCAAGAATGAGACTGTACTTTAAGGATCAAAAATATACTGGCACAACTATTTTTAAATCATCATTTCTCCAGACTCAAATTGAAAGCAGAGTTCAACACTGCACCAGTAAACCCCTTAGGCTGCAAATTTTCCTCCTTTATAGTCAATAGCACTTACTTCTCAATTCAACTACAATTGCAGTCAGAGAAACAACCATGTAAAATTGCACTAAACTTCCCGGAAAGGGACCGACAAGAGCCAACTTACTTTCAACTCCTGGCCAACAAGAGGTAGGTATCATACTGCTAACACATCAATATTATTGCCAGCTAATTCTGAATGTAATACTTGAAACTGCAAGACTCAGTTTGATCTTGCTGTACAGAAAATTAATAAAAATTACTTGACAGAGACTGGAATTGCAAAGTGATACTCAGTCTTTCACAAAAAGACGAAATTTTTCAAGCTCCAGCTGGACTGGAAGATGCTAATATTTAACCTACAGACCATTTGATTATTTTCCAAGGTCTACCTCAGACTATGCTATGCAGAGTAGTCTCAGTATAAAAAGAATCATGCTAACATGGAATTTTTGCATTTCATGCAACATTCAAGTGAAGCAATGCTTCTCTCAAATACCATTTCAACTTTTCTGTGCAATCTCTCCCCACGAAATCTCAAGCGGAAGAATAATACCATGAAAAGAGCAGTGTACAAAATACATTCGTGTATCCTCTAAACCTAATTTGGGGCAAATACTCTTTGGCATCTCAATACTGGAAAATCTCATTCTTCTGTATTCACAGAAGGAATGTGGAAGGATAACTAAGGTCAAAACCAGCTATTCAGAAAATACCTTGGATTCCATAGAATTCTGTAAGCCTATGCTAACTACCTTGGAAGAAAACTTGGGTGCTGGCATAAAAAGGACTATTTTTACAGCCGTTACATGTGTAAGGAACATAGGTAAGACAAAGCAGCAAATGAATTATGCAGCTAACAAAAGACGCAGCTAGAACACAAAAACACTACACTCGGATAAAACTCCACTCAGCATTTGACAAACAGCTAGAATATTTATTGCAAAGAAGTGCAGACAGCAATCTTTACCTGTTCTGGTTCAACATGACAGAACATGGAAATCTTTTCTTTTACTGAGGTATCCAATGGAGTGGAGCACCTGCAAACAATCTAACAAAACAGCAACATCAAGGTTGTGAAGCAAAACGGAAGTACTCAGACACTCATATAATAAACCTCTAAAAAGCTGCCCTTCTGCAGTCTCCACGGCTTGGGAAAAAAACCCAACTCAGTTACTCTTACTTGTTTACTACCAATACACAAGAGCTCTCAACCTAAGCATTATTTAGTCTAGGATGTTGTTGCAATATGCCAGTACTGCATTTTTAAATTCAAAGCCATGCAGCAAACCTTACCAGATCTGGTGAGAGACCAAGACCTCTGAGTTCACGAACACTGTTTTGGGTGGGTTTAGTCTTCTGCTCGCCTGTAGAGCTTGGCTGGTCAGAGAAGAGCAGAAATTAGCATATCAAATTGTGATGATATGTAGCAGTGATTTGTCAGGCTAATTGGGACTCTCCACCCCAATCCATCTTGTAAAAACTTTGACCCAGTTCTTAGACAATTCACATGAAGTTTAAATACCCCTGTACAGTATCATTTTAATCTCCAAGACTGAAAGCAACTGGCAGAAAGCAGAGTTCAAGTTTGTACAGTGAGTAGGTATGCGTTATAGTAGGGACGGAGAGAGCAGAGAACCTAAGGATTTTATCTACTGCTCCCTCCAAATACCTAGTATTTCATATTTCTAATTTTTTCTCTGTAAATCACCTAGCCTGGACAGAAGGGGAAAGGAAGAGAGAGAGAGAGGAGAAGAGAACGAAGATTGATCTGCGCTCCAGTAACTATCAAGCTGCTCTGTTAAATCCAGTTTCAAGACGAGGAACACTCTCTGCTGTTGTTAACATAACCATGGAAGACTTTTTTCAGCAGTGACTCCTGCAGTAGAGATTTTTTTTGTTTGGTTAATACCATAAATTGTCTCCAAAACCAGAGCAGATAATACAGATGAGGTTATATCATGCATTATATGGCATAAAACACCTTCACATGCTTTTGATATTAACTGGAGTTCACCCCATCTACTTGGCACATAAGGATATTTTGTTTTTCTTTGTGATTCCTAATTAACTGATTCTTATCATAGCACTGCTTCATAATACATTTTCTTAGTTGAATCTCTGAACCAAGGGCAACTGCCACTCAAGATTGTTATGGCTTACATAGCATCAGATGTGAGAGTCTATGAAATTACTGTTAAAGATCAAAACACACACTAAAAATATTGACGCAGGGCGGGGGGGGGGGGCAAACCAGATTATGTTTCAAAACACAGTATCATATTTTGAAATTACAAAAGTAACCTGACCTATTTCATGAACTACAGCTAATGTAAATCTGCATGGGGAAAAAAGGAAAAAAAAAAAAAAAGCACAGAGCAACAAATATTAAAGAACTCCAGGAAAGCTTGGAATATGATCTTATTAATAAGTCTAAATGGCTGTGAAGTCTGGCTATTTCACTGACTTTTATATTAGCTTTGCAGAAATGAAAGGCTATGCAAATAAAAGCAAACTGGAAGTTTTCAGCCCTAGAAAGCAAATTTACCTGCAAAAGCTAGGAGATAATTCCATAGAGAAAAACAGCAGTTAAAGATGCAAAATTGCATTTGCTGCAACTCCCAACTATTTATTACACATTTACACACTTTGAAAAGTTTCTGTTCGCTTCTTGCGAACCTTTCTAAATACATAACCATATATTCTCTGCATGTCTTCCAGAAGTTTCTATATATAGAAATACAAATATAACAGTGCCTATAGGTATAGCATTTCAGAAGCACATATTTAGGAAGCAAGTGTCGGATTCGGGAAGCCTCTGACCACCAAAACATTTTGGGTCCTTACCTGGGGAACTAGACTGACATGAATGTTACAAAAATTCTCTCTTTTGGCTTTGAACTGGAACTGGCGGAAAGCTTCAATAAAAGGCATGCTTTCAATATCGCCTACTGTCCCACCAAGCTAAAAAAGACAAAAGACATTTAGAATTAAAGTTAGTACCAAAACATCACCTACTGAATTTGTACACTAAAGCATACTAAAACATACATAAAAGAACACTAAAACATCTCCCCACCACCTCCCTCTGATTCCCTAAAGGAGCATCAACACCCATTATGAAAAGCACCAGGATTCACCAGTTGTATGTACTACTTCTACAGCCTCCAATCTACCCCAACTATTATTTTACCTTCATGATTTCCCCCAAAATCAAAAAAGCCACAAGAAAAACAGCTTCTCATATGGGCAGCACCTCTCCAGGGACATTAGCTTTACCTCTATTCTCTCTTCAGGGAAAAGATTTAGATGTTAAAATTATCATTTATGAACATTAGGTGGAACCGAGAAGCAAAATTTCTGTTAAGTTTTAATAACGATATAGAGTAGTTTTGGACACAGGCAGGAACAGAGACTAGGCATTCGTTGGAGCACTGACAGCCTCCTGTGTGTTGTCAGATAGTGCCTCCTAGGTACTTCAGAATCCAGGCTTGTAAATCCTGGAACAGAAATTGGCACTCAAGCTGCAGGGATAGTCCTATGTCACCATGACCCGGGCACTCTGACAAGCTCCCTCTCTCCTCTATTAGCATACCCCACCAGCCAACTCAGCAGTCTCAGAGCCTTTACCCTACTCTGTCTCCTCTGGCAGCAGGATGTCCCATACGATGCACAGGAAACTGCATTTGGTTTGTCACCACTAACTTGTGCCATTCCCTTTTCTAGGTCTATGCTTGAACTAGTCACTGCAAGGCTTCCTTTACTGCTAAGGAGGTTAGACAACTGTTTCCAGGGGATTTACCTACCCTCCCTCTATCCACCAAGGGAGAAATGGGCACAGCGTGATTAACTCATCAACTTTGGCATATAAAGTTATAAGAGCTAAAATTAATTCTACAGACTAATTCACATTACACTAGAGAGCAAAGCATCTCAAAAATATAACTGTCCAAGACCTCAGTCCTTCTACATGCAGATTCAGACACAGAGCATTCAAAAGATTAGACTGAATAAGCGATGCTAACAAGGGGGATTTTTAACCAACTCAATAACATGCAAAGTTGAACACTACTGTAAAAAAATTTTACTAAGCCAAATATAGTTCAGTTTACTCCATACAAGAAGCAAAACTGTAGGTTTTGGTTTTTTTAAGAGCTACAAACCTCAATCACACAAACTTGGGGTTCAATGCCATCTTCATCTACAGGAATTCGTGCCTGCCTCATTACCCATTCTTGTATAGCATCTGTGATGTGAGGAACAACTGAAAAAGAAAACCAGGCAAGGGTTAAAGCCACAACCCATGCACTTTTTTCCCTCTAACTAATTACAGAGCAAATTATTGAAAATAACTAGCCAGTGCTTCCCATATCACTTCAGCACTGATTTGTGACTTTAAAGAAGTATTTATTTTTGAAGTGATTATTCTTGGCTGTGATTTTCAAGAGAAGCGTCTTGGCAGGAAATGTAATCCTGCCTCAATTTAAACACATGTAAGCAATGTTTCCTTTAAGCTGCAAGATTCAAGTACAAACAGTCCTTTGCTCTAAGCAGAGCGAGTTACTCTGTTTTAAACTGTCTGTAAAAGTCCTTATCCAAACCAGCTGTGGAGGATGCTCAGAAAGGGAAGGGACTGATCTGATCCTCAAAGAGCCTCTGGGTTTTCTAATAATGTGACAGCTATCAAAAGCAATAACCATTTTAACCAGCTAACAAATAATCCACAGGTATATTAGTCTGAAGTCTGTTTGCATTTACTATTGGCTACATTAGACAGTCAGACCCAAGTCCAGCATACAGTCCAAACAATAGGCCATATATTGCTGTGCACTGCAAAGTTTTGAGAGGCTTACAGGTAACCTGATTCAGTGTGGCACGCACCACTACACCTGCACTGGTGCGTCTTCTACTTCCCCCCTTTAAAAAAAAAAAAAAAAAAAAATCACAAGGACAGCATCTAACAAATGCAGAAGCATCCAACCAGGACAGAAATACAGAACATATTACTAAGCATCAGAAGTGAAGCTTCACGTCACCTTGGACAGTTTTGCCAAGATAGTCTCCCTTCCTCTCCTTGTTGATGACATATTGGTAGATCTTCCCAGTAGTCAGATTGTTGTCTTTGGTGAGTCGAATATCGAGGAAGCGCTCATAGTTACCAAGGTCTAGGTCCACTTCCCCTCCATCATCTAGCACAAACACCTCCCCTGTAGCACACAGAAAAAGGCACAAGCGCACATGTCAAGGTGAAATGGTCCACATAAGCAATTTGGTGGTATTGCCTGTGACAGCTGAATGAATTCAATGTAAGGAAACACCTTCTTTGATTGCTGCAGCAAGTTCAGGAGTGGCTAACAAAACTAAAAGCCTTATATAACAAAGAGGACTGAATCCCTTGACCAGGAAGCAATGATAAAAGACCAGAGAGCTCATCCCTGCTGTTTGCTAGTGGCACGATCAGCCCGACCAGTCAGTCCGGAGCTGCTGACAGGCTCAGCCTGCAGGTCCGACACACAGGACCAGATGCAACCTCTTCCACCATGCAAAGGAGATGGTTCCTTCCAGGCAAAGCCAGCCCCAGGACCCACCTGGAAGACCCCGGTGCCCCGCTCAGGGCCGGCTGCCTGCTGACAGCTCGGCCCCGGCCCCGCGAGGCCACTCACCGTGCTCGTATGGGGAGAAGGTGCCAGCGTCAATGTTGATGTAGGGGTCGATCTTGATGGAGGTGACATGCAGCCCGCAGGACTTGAGAATGGTGCCGATGCTGCTGGCGATGATCCCCTTGCCGATGCCCGAGATCACCCCACCCGTGACCAGGATGTACTTCATCTGCCTCGCTGCCCGACACCGACACCGCCTCAGCGATGGCTCTCCCCGGGGCAGGCGGGGACAGACCCGCTGCCTGGAGGAGCCCCGGGCCCCCGCCATTCCTGACAGCCACCAAACCTCCATTCCCCCCTGTCAGCGACCAGCCCCCGCCATTCCCTCCCTGTCAGCGACCCCCCGAGTTCCCCCA